TATATATTGAGGCAACCCTCCAAAATAACCCCCTGTGGCTCAGTGGTAAGAGCGCCTACCTTTAAACCTAAAAGTCGTGAGTTCGAATCTCATCTGGGTGGAGAAATGTTCGTTTATTAAAAATTAATAAATGAAAATAATTTCTATCCTTGTGCGATCGGTACTCACCGGAGGGACCGCAGCCATTCGGATACAATTAGCGTCTCTTAGCAAAGACAATGACGTCGACTTTGCTAATTATCAAGAGAATTACTCTACACACACACTATACTAGGTACCTGACTGTACCATGCCAATGATCTTAGTTGTCGAGGCATAACTCAATAATAACCCTCCAAAATTGGAAAAACCACTGCCAGCGAATGGGAATCCCCATGGGAAATGACGTACTGTTATACCTGAACTTTGCGGATGACCAAGTCGTTCTAGCTCAAGAGTCTTATGATCTATAATTTATGATAAAGCATTTATATAATGAATATGTAAAATAGGGGTTACAAGTCAGCATGAAAAAAACAGAATATACCAATTCAGATGCAAGGTTTGAAGTGTTGATAGACGAGGACGTGGAAATCAAACAAGTGAAAAAAATTAAATATTTAGGTGCACTCATTGATAAGAACGGCTTGGGAGAAACCAAAATTAAACACCGAATTAATCAGGGATATAAAATTGTAGGATGTCCGAACACTGTAAGATCGCAACATTTCCAAAAGGAACAAAAAAAGAATAGGGCAAACCATGGTTGGATCAGTTCTTTGTTATGGCTCTGAAGTACGGACAATTAATGTAGACCTGAAAAGAAGATTATTGGCAGTTAAAATGGATTATCTGAGAAGAAAGTTAGAACATCAAAGCTGGAAAGTAGGATCAACGAATCTATAAGAAATAACACGAATGCTACAGAAACGGTCATTGACAGAATAGAAAGAAGAGGTTTACCTTGGTTAAAAAGAGGTAAAAACACACCTATTGAGAATGCCTGACGAAAGTTGGCCCCAAAAGCTTCACAGATGGAAGCCCCTTGGAAGAAGAAAAAGAGGTAGACGCTCATATAATGAAGGAACTGGAAGAGCGATGGAATTTAGAAATTTGGAGGAGGAGCATGTCTTGGATCGGAAGGATTGGTGGAGGAGAACGGGAATACGGCGATAGCCGTCTCTAAAATGTATTGTAGTTACATATTATATTATGTTACATATATCTATAGTATAACTTTCGGTTAATTTTCAATAAAATCAGTAGTTAGTCCCTAAAATATTACGTCGTTTCCCATCCATACGTAATTTAGTCAATGTTGCATAACATAACAAACTTTCTTCTATTCTCACATTTTGAAGAATTTCTTTGTGACAAACTAACGCTAATTTTTATTTTTAATAAAAACGTACATATCTAAAAATACGAATATGTAAATCTTTGTTATAGCATATACTCATAACTTTTAAACAGTTTGTAAGTTTTAGGAAGTTTTTGTCTGTATCCTGTTTTATACATATATTCGATGAGAAGGGTTTAGTGCGAAACTTTGTCGACGCGTAATTTAGAAACACCCTAAGCCTAGGATCAAACCCTGCCAATACCGACCTTATTTTGTTTCAAGATTACAATCCCAAATCTGTGAATTGAATAGTAGTGAGGATTTTAGCGATTTCACGGGACGAGCCACAAAATCTACTAATAACGATTGTCTTCAATGCACAGAATATGAATAATGTCCTTTTATTTTATGAAATGTTGTTATGTATGAATGAAATTAGAGACGCATTAGTATAATTATTAGTGTATTACCAAAGATATTTGAATGTTTTGTTTGTGACTATATTAAAGCATCACTTGAGAAACAACTAGTAGACCAACCATTTGGATTTTGGAATAGCATATAATATAATATACTAGTGTTTGTGGACTTCCTGAAGTAGGCCATGGAGAGGGGCCGTAGGGTACATGCACTATACACTGATATCTCAAAAGCCTTTAATTGGGTCAACCATAATATTTTAATAGTTAAACTTAAAAAATGAGTATTGATGCGCCAGGGATCAGGGATTTTGTTTCCAGTACCCCAGGGTTCTCATTTGGGACCTCTGTTATTTAACCCGTAACCGGTGACGATTTTAGGAACATAACCGGTGACGTGGAGTCTCCGGGACTCATCATAAATATGCTGGTCTCATTCAAATTTAAATAATTATTTTATCACATTGTTTATAATAATCTGTTCTTTAGGCATTTTTGCAATATCCTATTGCCTTTTTAGTTCTTTTTGTTACTGACTATTCTTATTATTAACATTTTTGTCAAAAGTTGCAAATAAATAAAGTACGGTGTTACGTCGGAAAACTTAATATATTTTTTTAATATTTCTTAATTTGGTATGTACAAATGGTCTTAATATTAGGTATAACAACAATTGAATAATCTATGGTAATAAAAATTATCATCAGTAGTCTAAACGTAACGGAACGTGCAGGGGGTAAATAAGGACAAAAAAAATGGGATTATTTTTTTTAATTCTCTTTGAACGTTACAGTTTCTGCATATTTTATGAGAACAAATCAAGCAAATTGGTTTTTTACAACAGACGCATAAATAAGATGTCTTCCTATGAAGTTTTGATGGGCAAATGTAGCAATACTTTCGAACTGCTAACCGATCTTCTTGAATAGAAGGAGGTTCAACCACGCACAGTATTCGCTTTATGTTTTCTCTTATTTCTGTCGGGATTCTGCTGTTATACATTCGTTGTTTCATGTGTGCTTCAATTAAGCTTTTAGCCAGTACCTTCATAAAATCTTTCCTGTCTAAGGGTTTGGATTCTCTATAACACTGATACATAACGAAAGCGTTAACTGTACTCATATCTAGTATTTTGTAAAATATAGCCATTGGCCAACGTTGCGTTCTTCTGGACGAACTATAAACCGTACATTTTACATCCAAAGCATCAACGCCGCCTTTCGTCATATTATACAGACTAATTATTTCTGGTTTTTGTGTTTTTCATCTATGGCTATACTATGATGCATGGAGGATAATAGTATGACGTCTTTGTTTTTTTTAGGAACATACGAAAGAAGGGTAATGTCTTTTGTAAAACCGTATCTAACTGAACCAATCTCTCTATGCCTTTGAGGAAGAAACTCAGGAGGAATATGTCTTTTAACCTTTTTCATAGTTCCCACATATGTTAGGCCATTAGATTTCAACAACTGAACTAGTTCTATAGACGTGAACCAATTGTCAGCTGTCACATTACGATTACTGCCAAATAATGGCTTAGAAAGCCGTAACACAGATTGAATAGGTTTAGCAAGCTTTTTCTCAGTTACTGAAAGGCCCATTCCGTCGGAATCTTGGCCTGTATATACATACGCATTGTACACATAGTTGTTTCTTGCATCTGTTAATATCATAATTTTAAGTCCATATTTTCGTGGTTTGTTTGGAATATACATTCTAAAGCGTGATCTACCCCGGAAACCAACTAACATTTCATCAATGCATACATATTCACCAACAGAAAACTCCGTTTGAGACAGTTTTGAATAAAAGATTCAAATAGTTCTTGAATTGGTGCTAGTGGATTTACCGCTTTTCGTTGTTCTCTCGTGGAAGGGTCATCAAAACGTAAACAAGTCAACTCTCTTGGCACTCATTACGGACCGAAAAATTTCTCTGCCCGTTCCATCTGTAGCAAATAGACATTGTATGTCTTCATCATTGGACTTAAATACTGAGGTGTAAATTAGTAAGCCTAAAAATGCTTCCATTTCGACCTGGTCGACATTTTTTAATTCCGGCCTCTTTTCATTTTTGTATTTGACCCTAACACTCGCCAATTTTACATTTGTCCATTCGACTACAACATTTAACATTTGATTTGTAAATAAACAGTTCCAAATTTCCTTTGGAGGTGCCGAAAGACGAAGAGACCGAGCCTTTCCTTGCAGCCCCGGTAAATGTACAATAATATTATGCTTTTGAGTACGAATATTTTTTGGTGCACTAGCTGACCACTTAAATCTGTTTTTTACCATAAAAGTAGTTTGAAGATCTTGATGCCAATATATTATTTTCATCATCACTGGACGAGTCTTGGTTTAAAGTTTCTGGAATATTGTCTTCTGGATCAGATTCACTATCAGACTGCTCAGATGCCGACTCATGACTGCTTTCTATTACCGCATCACTGTCAATATCATCAATATCACTATATTTAAAGTCCAAATCATTGAAACAATTTAACACTTTCTCTTCAAATTTCGGATCTGTAACACTAACCGATCGTGACGTACTTGGTAGATGATCCATTATAGTTTATACGAAGAAATATAAAAACACTCGATAAAAAGTAACTAACGGTGACGTTGAGTCTCGCTAACTCCAATAACGTCTGTTCTCGCAAACGGCTAAACGTAAACTAATCAAACAAAAACGCTTGGTTTATGAACTATTTTTAGAAAGGTACTTAGCCGCAGGCCATCCAGAGTCGTCCTCTTCAATATTTTAAACCGGTTTTTAATTTCGCAAGAGTCTCTCAGACTCCACGTCACCGGTTACGGGTTAACATATTCATTAATGCTATACACCACTCCAGCACAGTTCACCTCTTCTTTTTGCGAACGATTTAAAGTTCTACACAATTATCAATAATACAGAAGATTGTGTTAATCTTTAAGATTATCTCGATCGGTTAAATAAGTGGTGTGAGTTGATTGTCATGACCCTTGGCTAAAGCAGCAGCGGTTACAAGTCTATACAATAAACTTTATACTAGGGTATACGAAGTAATCATATATAAAATAGCCAACTAAAGAGCACAGAAAGAAAAAGATTTTAATCAGATTAGATGTATACAAAACGAAAATACCATAATACTATTTTACGAAAAGGATGTCAATGAATACTCTAGAATAAGTAATACTACAAATTTTAAATTCTTTTTTTTTTTTAGGTTGTTTTTATAAAAGATTTTATTTTATTGCTTTAATACATACCTGCTAACAAAATTCTTCCTATCAGCTCATTTCTGCCAATATTATCGAAGTCCATAACCATTACGTCCAAAGAACATTCTCTAATCTTCTCCCATGGTACATTGAACGAAAACGTATCATTAAAAACAGGATTAAGAGTACACTTAAATATCGCTGTTTTTCGCTTTTCAATACGCTTATCGCCAAACTGAAGCCACACTTTCACGTACGGATCTGAAATAATATAAAATTCCTATAATAAATAAATTTTATCGCATAATACCTGAATTAAACTTATGTACATAATATTTTTAAATAACAAAATATATTTTTAACTAGATTTATTAACGTACAATTTGAACTCACAGTATTCTTCGATCTTTCCAAAAGACACGTCATAATGTGGCAAATACCAAGTGACCTTTCAACTAATTAATTAAGTTTCAAATAAATACGGGTGATTCGAAAAGCCTAATTAATTTAATGTAATAACAAGCTTTTAAGTGGTTGTCCAATAGGAGAGGCTTTATCCCCAGGGACGTCATTAAGTGACATAAACTTTTTATGTGCTAATGAGAACAGTGACATGGCTATGAATAAATTCAGTTTAATGGCGATATTAGATTGTTCGACTACAAAACATCTAAGTGAAACCAGTGATCTTTTTATAGTGTTAACAGAACAAAGAAAACTGGACCAATCATCAAAAGTGCAACAATTTTTCAACGAACTTTGTTTTAGATAAGTACAATTTTAGTAATTTTCTCTAATTTATTTATTTTGCTTCAACCACTTAGGGTTATTAGCATAAGAAAAATACAAAAAGTGATAAAATCATATATAGGGATATACAAAATATCAATTACATAATAATGAATACAATATTATAATTTAATTATTGATAAATTGTATTAAATTTTAATAAAACAATTTATAGATTTCAAGAATTCTATCAAGTCAGCTACGTATTTAGATTCTCCTAGACGTTAGCCTTGTGTTAGCAACAGCCTAATGAAGAGCTGGATTTTTTTGGTTAGATTTTATATTCGAGACATACGATAGAGTTTTTTAGATAGCGTTTTTTAGATAGAGAAAATACGAAAGTATTTTCTTCTTAGGTTTAAGGGTGGCTGTTCAGCTTCACAGGGTAGACTGTCCACAGGACTGGTGCAATATGCTCCTAGAGCAAGTCTAACGGCTGAACTCTGAAGAAAATCTAAAGTTTTGAGCAATGCTTGGTTTACGGTGTTATACACAACACATCCGTAGTCCAGTTTTGATCTAAATCAGGGGTCTCCAAACTTTCCAGCCTTAGGGCCATACTGATTACTCCAGTAAGTTCCGAGGGCCAAGATGGCAACACTGTATTTTATATATATTTTTTTATATTTTATTATTATTTATATATTTTATATATTTCTGTATTTTATGTGTAATAGAATTTTGCTGAAGTGTGGATCATTTTTTGTAAAATAACGAATAATTTAATTTTTTGTAAGTGTGGTAAGCTGTCAACATTATTAAGTATGTCAAATATTCACCTATTTTTGATATATTTTAATTTAATACAAGGTAGACATAAACAAACAAAATATTTCCACCAGTGGAAATCTCCAATGTCTCCCGAGATTGTCCACTAATAACATAATTATTCTTTCTACTATTTTTCAAAGCCATCGTTAGAAATTGTCACAAACACACTTAACTATCCGAAATAATAAAAAGTCTGAAAAATAATAGCCGCAAATCACTTAAGTGTTACGCACCTGATAACTGGGAGGAGACTAAAGACCCCACCTAAGTGGGACGAGTGCGAGGACGAAGCGATGACAATAGCGGCGTAACTACAAGTCAGTTCCTATGAAACTGTTGTGAAATAAAATAGGGCGTACCTCGTTAAAACAAGTTTGTGCGTGTAACAGTATTTTGATTTGATTTGAATTGTTGCTTTTGTGTGTGATTTAGTAGAATGGAAAAGAAGCGAAAAATTGATAGTAAATGCAGAAAATTCAAAGATCAGTGGAACATTCAGTATTTCGTAATTGAGTCCAGTAACAAGGCGCTATGTTTGATTTGCAATGAAAGCATAGCCGTTCTTAAAGAATATAACATGAAACGTCAATATGAAACAAAACATTCTCAAAATTACTCAAAATATACAGGAATTGTGCGGACAGAAAAATTCGAAGCTTTGAAGTGCGGATTGAAATCGCAGCAATCTTTATTTACAAAAGTCAAAACTGAACAAGATGCGGCAACTCGTGCCAGCTTTCGTGTGGCTCTTGAAATTGCAAAACGTGGAAAACCATTCACTGATGGAGAAATGATCAAGGAATGCATAATTGCAGTAGTCGAAGAAATATGCCCTGAAAAGGTAAATTTATTAAAAACTGTCAGTATGTCAGCAAACACTGTGGCTCGAAGGGTAGAAAACATCGCTGAAAATATATCCTCTCAACTGTTCGACAAAAATGGACATGTTGAGTGGTTTTCTTTGGCCTTGGATGAGTCAACGGATGTGTCAGATACTGCTCAGGTGTTGATTTATATTAGAGGAGTAGATAAAAGCTATGAAGTGCACGAAGAACTTCTTGATATGTATAAGGTTTGTTCCAACCAGAGTCAGAAACAAGTTGCAGACGTCAGGATTCTGCGCAATAACATAAAAGCGTTCCATCCGAAATTACAAACAGTCAGCAAGCAAATAGTTTTCTGTTCCAACCACACCAACAACTTGTTTGCTGACAGTCAAAACAGTTTGCGGATTTTCTTTGGACAAGAAATTTGGGGCATGCGTAGTACCGTTTAATAGTCCATTGGTTTGTCAATTGTCAACGGAACGGTTCTGTTTACTGTTTAACTGTTTACAAATTGTTCTATGAACCCAACCCTAGTCGGGAACGCCGAACGCTTAGGTTAAAGTTTGTTTACCAATATAAATATTTTATTTGAGTTTTACTTAAAGTGATAACGTGATTATATCATTTGGGTATATATTGGGTATTTATTTAAAATCTGTAAAAATTACTGACACTGAGTCGTTTGGTAAAATGTATGTAAATAGTCAGTCGCTCAATCACAAAATAAAAGCAGAAATGAGAGGATGGTATGACAACAGACAAATTGTCGGTTGTTCCAACTACCTATCACTAATCAATCAGGAAGTCAGATATTTGATGACATGTGCAGTGGGAACAATCCACAAACTGTCAGAAACTTGTCTGTGATTCATGGTTGGAACAAACCTATAGTATTCATGGCACAACTATTGGTACCGATATTTTTAAAGGAGTTGAAATGGCCATTAATAAAAAGAACCTTCGATGGAAAAACTTGAAATGTATTACAACTGATGGAGGCAAAAACATGAGTGGGAAAGATAAAGGAGAGGTCGCTCTTGTGTCAAAGGCTGTAGAAAATGACGGCGGTTCAAAACCATTAGTCTTACATTGTATCATTAATCAACAGTATTTGTGCGGAAAATGTTTGGATATGTCTGACATTCTGAAACCAGTCATATCGACTGTTAATTTCATCAGATCTTTTGGGTTGAATCACCGACAATTCCGACAATTTATTGCAGAGATTGGGGAAACAGACTTACCTTATCATACTACCGTACTCTGGCTTAGTTGTGGGAAAGTCCTTCAGCGCTTTTTTGAACTTCGAGCAGTGTTCGAAATTTTTTTGAATGAAAAGCACCGCCCTCTTACTGAATTACAAAACAACGCATGGCTATGGAAGTTAGCATTCTATGTTGATTTGACAAAACATGTGAACGAACTGAATTTGAGATTGCAAGGAGAAAACCAGCATCTTCCTGATTTATACACTAATATCAAGTCATTCCGGATGAAATTGATACTGTTTCAATCACAACTACGAAGTAAATGTTTTTCACATTTTAAAACATGTGAAATATTCAGCCACACTACTGAGACTGAGTTTCCTATCGATTTTGCAATCGAAACTTTGAGTGCTTTGAAGATAAATTTTGATACTCGTTTCTCGGACTTTGATGCCATTGCGAATCAAATTAAGATTTTTCAGAATCCTTTTGATGCTGACATTGAAACCCTAGCCCCGGAACTTCAAATGGAAATGATTGATCTTCAGTGCAGTGATATAATTAAGAACAAATGTGAAAACTCATCTTTGTTGGAATTTTATAAGAGTCTTCCACTGACACAATTTGATAATTTGCATAAATTTGCTCGTGGGCTGTTTTCCGTTTTTGGTACTACTTATTTGTGTGAGAAAACCTTCTCCAAAATGAAGTACACAAAAAATGTATACAGATCTAAATTAACTCACGAGCATCTTAAATCTCCTTTAATAATTGGTACAAGTAAAATTAGTCCACAACTACAAACTATTGTCGGTGGAAAATCTCAATTACATACATCTCATTAGCATTTTATATGTCATGTTTGTTATAAGGTATGTGTTGTTCATTACTTACAATGTATAAAATGTTAGTTGGATTCATTTCAATAATTTGTTAGTTATTATATGCTGAAGTTAAATTTACTGCATAAATTATACATGTCTTTACTCATTACCATTCTGTGTTTCTTTATCCAACTTATCACACACATTTTATTTGCTATAAAAAATATTTGTTCTCTAAAAGGAGTTTTCAAGTATGTCTCCGCGGGCCGGACAAAATCTGTCTGCGGGTCGGATGTGGCCCTCGGGCCGTAGTTTGGAGACCCCTGATCTAAATGAAGCTCTATATAAATTTATTAAAGTTGGAAAATCTGCTCTCTAATTTTTATATGATACAGATTTCATAATGTTTATGTGAATATAGAAAAAAAAACAATGAACATCTAGATGCACTTAGACAATATCAGACATTTTTTTATAAACATTAAAAATGTCGGTAAAAATATAAATAAAGTCTTGTTAGGGTCATATTTTAATGCAAATAAATTTGTTAAAAATAATAAATTGAAAGACGAGAACAGTGGATCCGATATAACAAATTGTAAGGGGATTTAATTAAGCATCAGAACTAAGTAACCTTTACTAAATATTATGTACATATTATATTAGTAAAACATTCTTATGTATATAAACGAACGTGAGATAAATAGCTGGGAAATAACGGGAGTAGATCATTATCATAAGAGTTAACAGTCAAAGCTGGTGTTGTCATCAGTCAACTGGGTACTCTCTCTATTATTGTACTTAGAGAACTAATAAAATAATTATGAGTATCCAGTAAGTTC